GGAACGTTAAAGTGAGAAAAATTCGACAGGGGGAAAGAAGAGCGATTCACAGATGTAACAGACAGACAGACACAAAGGCAGAGAAAAGGCTAGATGAGTACTGTGAAAGGGGTCGAATATGACATACAGTGGGGTTATGGATGTTTGAAGTCAGAGGTCAACTGAATTGTAGAGAATCTTCAGAGAGATTAATTTCGAAACGCTCACAAAGATTATTCTGGGACATGGAAGTTGTGGTTCTTTATTCATTAGAAATAGGAGCAAAAACTTAGTGGGACTGCACCTATGCAGATCGATCTGTTTTTGAATACACATATCATGATTAAAATGCGGGTGTGCGATAGACTTACCTCCACGTGGTGCACCCTGGGCAACGTATATTCATACGGCAAAAAAGTCTATTAACTGGCAGTTGACTTCTCACTTCAAACTACCATGGCCCGACTGCTTGTCATATTTGTCCCCTTTCACAGTACTCATCTTACCTTTTTCTCTACCTTTGTGTCTGTCTGCCTCTTTTACATCTGTGAATCGCTCTTCTGATCCCCACCCCTCGACTTTCTGCTACTTTGATGAACCTTCCTTCTGTGAAGCCCGAAGTCAGCTAAATGGCTAATGGTAACTATCATAACACCTACCATTTGATATAAATAAATATATGATTAAAATGCGACAATCATTGGAATAATTAAGAGAGTAATTGGTTCCTCCAGACAATATTCGTCTAGTTGCCTCATAAATCGCTTATATTATTTATAATATTCATAGTTCAGAGATGTCTTTCAGATTGGAAATTTATCAAAATATTTCATTAAATTGTATCTCTCGGTGTAATTTTAAGAAAACCAATACCAGGTATATAAATGGAACACGAAACACATCATTGGCTCAATTTTCTTACTTGGTAAATTTTACGTGAGTCACACTATGATGTTACGATTGAGAATACTAAGTCTGTTGATGAGGAGGACAGAACATCTTGACATTCCTGTCTTTGGAAAACGGTTCAAATTTTCTTCTTAATAAACTAAACGGATTGGAAAATGTTAAGGTAAGCATTAAAACGAAGGAAACTTTTATTCAGTTTGTGGAATTCAAACATTGCCCTTTACTTCAACATAAAGTTAAAACGTAAATAAATTAGAAATCTCTTTAAATAAACGTTAAATTCTTCAGTAGGTATGTTTAAAATGGCCAATAGATTTGAAGAAGATGAATTGGGCGTAGGTAGCTAATCGCCCTTAAAGATTTGATGTATGGTGACACCAGACCTCCTTTTTAACTTAACTCTGTCTTAATGACAGCAAGAAACTTCCCAACACCGTGATCCAAGATCATATTTGTTAGTCATCCGCTCCAGTAAATAAACTGATAGTTATATATCTTGCTTTCCAAATCTTATCTCCACATTTATTGATCTTTTAGTTAGACTGTGTGCTGAGATGAATATTTAACAGTGGGTTACTTTTAAATCTTGGCACAGAATAGAGATATGTGTGAAAACCACCTTGTTCATCTTGGTTGAGCATAGTTTGTGAAGTTCTGCTACATTGCAAATGGAATTTGATGAATTTCATGCCGGATACTTTTGTTATCTCAACTATTAGAATGAAATACGAATTTCAGAGACAAGATTTTGCATCACTTTATATTATTGGAATTTTGTAACGCAAGGTGCGTGTTTATTAAATTTCGTTCAACAAAAATTCAAAAATATCAATTGAAATGACAATCTTTGATACATAATATATTTTTATGTTGTTATTTAACTTCTTTCATGGCCATGTCAAGTGCCTTTATAAGATCCGATTCTACTCTCCCCTTCCTTAGAAACTGCTTTCAAATTCAAACATTTTCATTGATCTTTTGTCATAACTAGCCTACCTTTGACGCTTCTGATCAAATGCTTTTTGTTTTTATGAAGTTTTATTTGAATAACAGTTGACTGTCAACAACCCCACTTGATGTTGGCGTCAATAAAATAGCCACAATTAGTGGACACCTTTAAAAGGGTGTTGTGTTTAAGATTGGGCATTTATGGATTATCAAAATATCTGTTCTAAATTAAAGGGAGGATGAACCGAAACTAATGTAAGAGATTAATTATTTTGTTTTTTTATTTATTTATTTCAAATGGCAGGCGTTTTGATAGCTATCATTAGCCATTTAGCTGACTTCAGGCTTTACAGAGGGAAGGTTCATCAAAGTAGCAAAAAGTCGAGGGGTGGGGATCAGAAGAGCGATTCACGGATGTAAAAGAGGCAGACAGACACAAAGGTAGAGGAAAAGATAAGATGAGTACTTTGGAAGAGGTCGAATATGGCAAGCGGTCGGGCAATGGTATTTTGAAGTCAGAAGTCAACTGCCGGTTTATAGACTTTTTTGCCGTATGAGTATACGTTGCCCAGGGTGCACCACGTGGAGGTAAGTCTATTGCACACCTCATTTGTTTTTTTTAATTTCGATCAATTTCGCCGTATGAATGTCTGCTTTTTAACCTCATTTTATCTCTCAGTAGCATTAGGCTTGAAATTGAAGCTAAATCATATTAATTAATGCCCTGTATTAAACAATGTGTGGAAGTAAAATTATTGTGCCCCCATCCCCCAAGTTAAACGGATATCTACTTCCACCTAACCATAGATTTGACCTATTTCAGGCGAACTCGGGGATTACAGCTCCGAGGATTGCAAACAAGGATATGTCAACCGTATTCGTCTGATTCCAAACCAAACTCCCGACTTTGAGATCNGTCACCCGATATATTGGAATGCGAAAGTTGATTCTCTTTTGTTTGGTGCAATATCACTGCTATTAAAATTAAAGACAATATGCTATT